TGGGAAGGAAAAAGGAATTTTATCAACACGGTGTCTGAATTTGTGATTACGGTAGCGCACCTTTTGTGCGTCGTGGTTTTGCATCACGAAAATTGCGTCACTCGTGTTTTTTACGCGTTTCACCTCGCGAAATGGGTTGAATTGAATGTATATACCTCCAATGAGTAAACTGTAATGAAGGAGAGCAGAATTATCCAGGGGCATTAGCAATGCCCGCCGCCCCAACTAAGAACAAGTGAGTGGCCTCCGTCGGAGGAGAGTCGCGAAAGGTGAACAGTCTTCTAGCTTGGAGGCTAGACTACTTGCACAGCAAAGGCGACCACGAGCCACTTTGATCGCGGGGGCTGTCTTTAAATGGGTGGACATTCGAATCGTGAAAGGTCAGAGTGGTCACACAGCGCCATTCAGGCAAGAGAGCGCAGAGAAAGGCAGAAATTTGGCGCCAATAAGGGAATTTCACTTGTCCGTAGACCAGTTCAGAGGACAAACTGTACACTAACCTTCGAGGACGGTCCATGCCATTGGCCTAGGTGAAGGGTTTCCGCAGCTGCAGTAGCACTCCGCTCACTCCGATGCTCGGAAACACTTGCGCCGATATCAAGATTCCGCAATTAAACGCCCACGCAGCGGTACGGTACAACCAAAACGCAGACAACTAGTGCGTTTCGCTATAGGCGCGTGACTTGCTGTGTGGCAGCGCAGGCGCAACATATACTCCCACGTATGGTATGGCAGGGGTGGGTGTCAGCACCTCGGCCTCGTTCGTGTACAATTTTATGCGATGAAAGCGACATGCTACTGCAGTGGTGGGGACCTATTCACCTTGCATACACATGGCAAGTACCGGGATCCATAAATGTGAGTGTACCGTTCGTCTTTAAGGGGCTCTCTAAAATTGTCTGAAGCTGTACAATACCTCTGATTTTCAGGAGGACTAAAACTGTGCGAATTGATTTCAAGCCACTTAATCGATCATTTCGTTCCATTTCTTCCAATGGAGCGACGGCATGTCATACTTTGTACGATTGGCTACCTCAAGTCGCAGGGAAGAGAAGATCTCGTAAAGGACGATGAATTAGTTCAGCGCATTGTTGACTCACTACAGGTATGGTTTAGACCTGATTTCAACATTTTTTGAACTCTGTATTCGAACCTTACAAACACTGCATTCGAACCTTACTTTTCATGGATTTCAGTATTTCCCTCAAGAGTTGAAAGTGTTCTCAAGTTCCGGTTGTAAACGAGTTCCCAGCCAAGGCAGATTTGGAAATCGCTAAGCGAACCCCTTCTTCCATAGCAGTTAAACACTTGAGAATTGATGATAATGATGAACTTTAGCTGTTTTCTAAGACTTACCATTTTTTCAGAGCAGCTGATAACTTTTAGAAGTCAAGCTTTACATTATACTGCACTTTTTAAACAGTTTTCCTTACATTAATGCTAACACGGTGCTTTATGGGTTTTTAACAGAAGTTTTAGAGTGATCGTCTGCTCATTCTTTTAGCTATTTTCTTTTATATTGAAAGTTTGTAAGCATTTAGTGCCGCTTTGTGTGATGATTTCCGTCTACGGTTCGAGTCTCGAGTGTTTTTCTGTACATACGCTAGTCATCTTGTCAAACATATTCCATCCTAGGGTTCTCTTGCCTACGGACAACATGCTAGGATTAATGACTAATGCTCTGATTTTTGGCCCCACTCCGCAGTATCTGTGAGATAGTCCTAAACACAATTTGTACATTTATCTCCGTGAAGCCTTGTCCTCGCCATTTGCGAGGTGAATGGGTCCGTAGCTGCGTTAATGGGACTGAAGGGTAGTGACACCTTCTCCTCCTGCGCTGCCACACGGCCGGCCACACGCCTAACTATAGGCACATGCGCTACTTGACTGCGCCTCTCACTTCTGACTCTGACTGTTCTCTATCTTCGAGTGCGTGTTCCCTGCATGATTTTGGTATCGACGTGTACTGTGCTGCACCTCGAGGGCGGGGAAGGGGACGGCGCCCGGGTATCACTGCCCTTCAGCCTTCTAGTGTAATTTTGAGTGGAGAAAGTATCACGCTACTGCAGCACGGACCCATTCACCTTGCAGAAAGCCATTCACTTCGTACATAGAAAGGAACGTCCTCGGAGGCGAACTTACAGTCTGTTTCCGAATTCATGATCATCTAAGAGTGGATCTTCCTCGGCAGCATGCAGACTTCAGGACGACGCGCGTCGACGCGTTAGAGTTGCGTTACAGTTCGCTTCAACCTTATAGACGCGACCGCAGACGGCAATCAATCGCCGCCGAGATAGTGGCCACTGTTGATCGAAACCAGACTGCGTGACAATATTCCCCTTCCCCTCCCCATACTCTCTCAGTACCTTGGAGCGCTGTTGCAATTGTTGCGCGTTACAGCGCATTACAGCGCACCTTCTTGGCGAAATCTGAACGGTGCCTTCTTGTGCGGAGCGGGCATGTTCCTTGCGGAAAAACTCTAGCCTCTCGAAAGTGAGCTTCAAAAAAGTTAGAGAGTTGTAATAGCTCGTTCTTTATGTCTCGCTCGCGATTAGATACGCAATACTCGTGCCGCAGTCACGCTGCGCGTCACTCGGCCAATCATATGTATTCCCTCGCAGCAATAAATGCGATCAGCGCTGTAGCGTTCGTATCGCGTGTTAGGTGAGGGGAGGGGGCAGTATCTTAAAGAGCATCAGGCTTCAACAAGCCTTTAGTTTCGTTGCCTTTTTTGCACAGCGGGAATGCTGCCATTCTACTGGTAGGGAGCTGCACACATCGC